TCTGATCTCTCACTTATTCTCAATGTCATCACTCACTATGACCTTGAGCATACCATAAAAGTAATGAGTAAGCACCATAGGTTGGTTGTACATACATAGACAAATACTGCTACTGCAGTAGCGGTATGACAATACTATTTAAGGGGGAGCGCGCTCTGAAAAATGCGCTATTTTTTGGTCAAAACTTTGCAGAAAAAAAGCAGAAAAACGGCTTTTTTATCCATTTTTTACCAAAAATATGCTTGCGAGGCAGATATTTTTTGCTTTTGAAGATGTTTTTAAAACCAATTTGATGGCTCTAAAGAAAGATATCAAACTCTCCTCGAAAAAATGATCCGCCCTGGGACGTTTGTTAAAAGAAAAATACACACGCGATACTGTAATATAAAAAGCAAGGATTATCAATAACCTAACTATGGGTATAATAATAAATATGTTCCCGTATAGAATCATAAATTATTGTTCAATGATGTTGTTATCGTTCAAATTATTTTAAAAAAAATTAAAAACGTTTGAGGAAATTTTAATTAATTTTCTCCAAGAATTGAAAAGAAATGAAAAATTAATGTCCAAAATAAAAACTGTCATAGTTTTTAATTGCGACAGCTGAAGATTACAGCACTATTTTCCACGTGAAGTAACGAACCGCAAAAATCTTCGAACAGTTATCACCAACATATTCCCGGGTTGACCAAAAGTCGCAAGAATCTTAAATTTCATTTCAAGAATCTTAAAATTCATACAAAAAAAAGACCTAGAAAGTTGCAAGATAGAGTTTTTTCAATGAAAAAATAGTAAGATAGTGTTTTTTCTCACAAAAAATTTGTAAAATAGTAAATTTTCTAAGAAAATTTTCAAATTTTTTCGCATGTTTATTTAAAAATATATATTTCTTATAACCAGTCTAAAAGTACAGTAATAGAAATTCAGAGGGCAAAAGGCTCAATGTTGTTATATGAGTGAAATAAAAAACCACTAACTTTACATAATACATTACATTATAAAGACTATCTAAAAATTTTAACATCCATAAACTTTGAAGAAAAAAAGTTCCAAAATTGATTTTTATCTGTTATCAAGATGCAGAAACAGGTTCAAAATGTTCTCGTTGATTTTTTGATGTTTGAAAAAATAACTATCCGCATCCAGTTTTAAGCGTTAATAATCGCTTATATTATGATTTTAGTGCCAGTATTACTAAAATCGAGAAAAAATCGACTTTATCAATTAGAAATTGATTATATTCAATCCTTTGAAATCAAAATATTTTATATTATAATGCATTTTAATCAAACAAAACTTTTTTTCAATTCATCTATTTTTCGATACAAAAAAAATCAATTATAATCGATTAACTTAATTGCAATTTCTCATTTATATGTTTTGCGCAAAAAATCCATTATAGTCGATTATAATTTCTTTTATTTTTCCCATTTTGTCCTCGATCTAGCCTATTAATTGCTTTTTTTCATGCTTTTTGTAGACATTGGTTTTAAAACTTTTCCAATCACGTCAAATTTATAGCGTTTTTGCATTTTTCTTTTTTCTTCATTAGAGTTGTTTCATGATGCCCATTGTAAGTTTTTTAACCACCAAAAAATCACTACATTGCTTTAGTTTCCTGATTTGTTCCTGATTTATTTTTTTCACCTACTGCGTGAACTTTTCAACTAATTTGAAAAGATTTCTCTAAAACTTTTGTTTCGTAGTAAAACTAGTTTTCAGATGGACCAAAGTGTGACAAGACATATCCCTATTAGAGATTCTGTTGATGACTGAAAAATAACAACCCATAGAATATAAACAAAGTTAGTTTTTGATGTGACTAAATTTTGGCACAATAAAATATATAAAGTGTTTTTGTATGAAATACTACCAATTATAAACGATTATAAGAGGTTATAATCTCTTGAAACATATCGCAATGACATTTTGCCGTCTGCAACTATGTTCCAAGTTTCCCCTGCATTCAGTAAAATAAGAAATTAATCAACTATATTACAATTATTACTGTACTTTTATCAAAAGTATAATTAATTATAAGCGCCAAATTTAGATGTTTATACGATATTTTGGTGATCATAATTGGTATTAATACAATTATAATTAAAAAATGAAGAAAAAAAAAACGTTATATTTTTGAACTGATTTGAAAATTGTCAAAACAATTTTTCCATTTTTTAAATAAACCAACGTCTACGAAAGGCATAACATATAAGCAGTTCATGTGGAAGGTCGAAAACAAAATCAGCAAACAAAAAGGATTGTACACAATTATAATCGATTATAATGGGTTTTTGTGCAAAACAATAATATTGAAGTTCGGATAAAAATAATCGATTATAATCGATAATCATGTATTATAACTGATTATATTTGATTATAACTGAAGAGAGATTACAATAGACTATTAATTGATTAAAATCAATTTTTTTCTGACTTTTTGTAAGACTGGTACTAAAATCATACTATAATTGATTATTAACGCTTGAAACTGGATGCGGGCCCTTTCTTGTACGTAAGATCACGCATCTTGTACGTAAGACACTTGTGACTGATTGATCAGATTGTTCAACGATGAAGATATTTGAGTCTCCCAACAGTGTAATTTCTTTGTTCATACGTTTTGGTTGTTTATTTTTTTTATTGTAGTATAGAATCATTTTTAAACGTTGGGTTTGCGACAAGTGATTACGTTAAATTCCAATCGCCATTTGTATTCGGTTGTTTTTGTCTAGCTGTTTCCACTTGGGCTGCAAACTTTTTTCTCGTGTAATATCAAAGATGGTCCTTGTATATCGCTGTCGCCCGTGTCGCTCCCTAGCTCAAAGTTGTCACCTCGTTCTCGACGGTATACTCTCAATGAATTGCCCATATGTTGCTTTGGTTTTCTCTCCATCAACATTGTCTTCCTTGAATTGTTGCTTATACTCTCACTTTCTGCGTCCGGCCCTCTTTTCAAGTCTTCCTTAGTTTCATATTCATTTTTAAGTGTGACCGTATTTTGTCTTCCTTCCTGGTCTTTTTCCTTAGTTCTCCTTCTCCGAGTGACGACGTTTTGTAGTGTAAACTCCAAGTTTTTAAGCTACCACTTTTCTCCCTGCGTCTCGGTAGTCCAGTTGAATTCCAGTGCTTCTTTTTTAACATTCGAAATTTGATGATTGTTCCCAGTTCTGATGATTGTTCCCGAAATTTAACTTGTTCTCTGCTCGTACTCTGATATGAGCGAGGCGTTTCTAACAACAGTTGCCTGAATGCACCGCTCCATTTTATCGCATCGTTCTTTGTCATTTAGTTAGGTGCCGGTCTTGGTCTGGTAAAACCATTCAAGACTGTTCTTAACGCAAGTCCTTCTCTTTTTTATCTTTTCGTGATCAGGCCAAATCTATTGAATGTATCCTTACTCTGTCTCTTTCAGTTGCGCTTCAACTCATTTCACCACATATATATTAACTATTTTTTAGTTACTTTTCATTCTTCTGGCATAACCTTACGAGGACAAACTGTGAATTCTGTGCATTGTAAGGGGATTCCGCAACAGGCCCAAATCAGATTTGTCGCGGAATCCGCAACATTGCTACTTTTCTTTGACCTTCTTTGCTGTTTTGGATTCCACAAACAAATACCTAAAACACTGTACCGTTCAAAATCGCTCCAAAAATAGGCGAATTTGCGGAATCCGCAACCGTATTTGCGGAACCAGAACAGTTTGTGGAAGCCACGCACAAATAACAAGACATGTGTATAGTTGAATTGAGCTGTTGCGGAATCCGCAACTGTGAGCGGAACCCGCAAACTGTAAGTGTGAGCGGAATCCGCATACTGTAAGTAGCAATTTTTTTACCAAAAAATTGCGCTTTTTGGCGCGCGCTCCCCCCTCAAAGTTAGTATATATTGCCGCCAAAGGCGCTTTAAGAAAAATTTTAGGGTCCGTCACCAAAAATGGATATCTGAAAATAGTACAAAGCGTCGGCAGGGGGTCGGCAGGGGTCGGCAGGGGGTCGAATCCCTCAGGGGGAAGGGGCGTCCGAAAATGTGAACCGTTTCATTGCAGTGATGAGCTGTACAGCTCGTATGTTCGTCCTTTCCCTCGTAGATAATTGGTCTTAAAACTGTTCTAAAATCAATGGATCCATGTTGTTGGATCCACTCCTCGCAATGTTATCGATGGTTTTTGTTGTTGCTTAATCTAAATTTGAATCTTTTATTAATGCGACACAGAAAATCTGCTTCATTCAATTCACTTCTGAACGTTTCATTCTTTTAATGTATTATGCAATTTTTTTGCTTCTTGTCCATTGGCGGTAAGTCTGAATAAAAGGATCTGGGGATAAGTTTTTGTCTAGTACACAATACTTTTCAATTTCTGTCGTTGAGTGAGTTCGATTTCGACCCATAGCCGTTTAACTCTTGATTTGTAATATCGTACATAATCACAAAAAAGGCTTGATGTGCATTCCTTCCACCATATCAGATTTCAGTTCCGTATATGGAAATCGCCAAAGTCATTTGGTTTTGATTTTGGTATTTTCATGTTTTTCATTTTTGTGTTGTTTAAGATAATTTCTCGTCTTTATCCCAACTCTGCTTCAGTATTTCTTTCATTTTTTGTAATTTTTTCATCTGAACGTTATCTTGTTTCATACTTACTTTTTCTTGATTTTTTCCTAATTGTTCATAGTTTCGCTACATCTGTACTGTTCCCTCGCTTCGATTGGAACCATTGTAGATCGGCTCGTGATCAGCTTCACCGCACATGACGTCATTAGATTGGACGCAGGTTTTTAATTCAACATTGGGCGTGACCAAAACTTTTTGTGCCGCAATCGAGTTTTTCGAAAAATGCTGTTTTGAGCAGTTTTTGAAAAGTTTTTTAAAAAACTAAATTACGTCTTTTTTCGGCGCGCGCTAAGCAGCCCTTTAAAATTAATCTACTTAGGCTTCATCGTCGCCCCGCCCCCACCGCTCCTTCGGGACGCTTCTGATTTGAAGTATCTGACCTGTGTCAGGCACCCAGAAAGTGTTGGCTGGCAACAGCAGCGTGTCCAGGGTCCCCCCATCATCGAACTCACTTGCATTCCACTTTGCACTTGGGGAGTAGTAATAGAAGAAGATGAAGAATTTTCCCTCCCACAGTCCATTCTAAATTAAACTCCTTCTCTCTATGTTCAATCAGGGATTCAGTAGCGTATTTAGGGGGGGGGGGGGGGGCGGGTGAGAGGTCGATCAGAAAATCGATTTGGTCGTCCCAAAGGTTGACAAAATTTTTGAAACTTTTCTTAAAAATCCGCCTCATCAAGAAATGTCAGATCCGCCCCTGCAAGGATGACCGGTTACTGTGCTAGTAAGTTAGTTTTCAAAACTTCAGTTTCAGGATTTCAGAAGACAAAAGATGAAAGAGACAGATGGCGTGACTACCTGAGTGTCCTGTCAATGCAGATCTTGCGAGAAAATTGCAAGAATCTTGCAAGATACCCGGGTTGACCTCTATACACCTAAAATGCTTATCATTTAATTCTATGCATCAAATGTGTGGAAAAATGCTTGTCATACACTTTTCATACAACTTCGAAAAATGATTTAAAAAAAGTTATAAGCTAATTTTTGCTGCTGTTTGATTCTAATAAAAACAGTCTGGTGATAAAAAAAACCATTGTTTTTGTTTTTTGAAAAAAAAGGCTATCATACAATTCCCATATATGGAAATTATATCAATAGCGTTTTCTTGATGGCGACACAAGAATTTTTTCGAAGTAATTTTGAAATTGCCCCAAACAACTTTTCGTTTTTTTTTTCAACCGCAAATTGAATTTTGTACGAAAACAAACATTTTCCAATAAAATATTTCCCTTAATATTTTTCCCTTTTTTTCCTTACAAACATTTTCTTTAATATATTTTTTCAAAAACGCTGAAAACTCCCATTTCTTTTGTATGGTATGTTTATGTTTGCCTTCATCAAGGTCTGATAAATTAAAAATTTCAAATTTTCAAATTATCATCGTTGAAAAATTTTTGCCAAATTTTAAAGGTTTGTTACTTTCGTTATATGATTTGTAAAAGACTGCTCAAAGACAATTCAGGTCGGTTTCAATGCATTGGAAATGGAAAACTGTCCAACTTTCGGTGCTTTGAGTAAACCAAGGTCTTTGTTCCTTGTGTTCGGTTACAAACACAACCCAAAATTTTTCAGGAATTGAATTTTGAAACAAAAAATCATTTTTTTTGGTTTATGGAAAAATGCCTATCATACAATTTCCATATATGGAAAAATGATTATTATAGAGATTTCATACAATTTTCTGTACGTATGGAATTGTATGACAAGAAGTTTTTTCATATATGGAAATTGAATGTTAAAAAGTTTTGGTCAACCCGGGTGTATGCAAAATCTCGAGAACACTCGAGTAGTTCTTAGACCTACCTACTACTTGGACTCTTGTCTGAAAGTTACATAGTTCGTTTCCACTCCCCACTCGCACCTTTCAAATTTTCTATTTTTATACTTGTTTTACGTGTGATTATGGCCAAACGCGTGATGTTACCTTGTAAGGTATGAAAAACAAAATATGTTCTTATTTATTAGTTTGTACGATGCCAAGTTTGATTGCATTATGACAACGTTAAAATGGTTTTTCAAAACTGAAATTGAAAGGTCGGGGGGGGGGGGGGGTGGAAAAGAGCCAAGCTCATAATAGGAAAAGGATCAAGTAGAACAATATATGGCCAATACTTCCCTTTTCGTCGACCTCTTGTATGTTCAACAGGTCAATGTACACAAACACAGTCTTGTTCACCATATCGAGGGGCGGCCACAAACTAGGAAGGGCCTTCTTCAATCTCTCCATTAGTCTGTTCTGCCCTGCAACTCCATTATCCAGGGTAGCCGCTCCATCCGTAGCTACAGGGGCTTTTCTCACGACAAAGGGACGGAATGCGCGCGGAGAGTTCTCACTCAAATAATGAACGCCATTCAAACTGCCCAAATCTGACTAATTTTATTGTATATATTTTTGGAACTTCATGAATTCTGATTGGCTGACACAATTTTCGGCCATTACGTCCTTCTGGCGTGAGAGATTCTACCATCGTTACCTTCAGACGAACAAACCAAAACGAAGATTGAAGAAAAAGAAAAACAAAAAAATAACATAAATGAAAAACTTCTCAAAACGATTTTTCCGAGTTTTCAGCCAGACTTTGTGCTGTGAGTGTTTTTTGTGACTGTTTTTGCTTAAAGGTCACATCAAATATATTCTCAGAGCTTAATTTCCTTTGCCAAATAAGCAGGTGAAACTTGCACCGAATCAAATTAAAAGTTTTTTCACGCTTCTGGGACTTCACATTGCTTGGTGGGGGATACTTTTAATTGATGTTTGTCGACGCAAATGACCAAACCGATGGTTCGATTTCCTTTGAAAACTTAATAGACCAAAACTAAGCCAAACCAACTTTGAGTTAAATTAAAAGCGTCTATTCAAACCAAAAAAAAACATACGCACGAAAAAAAACCAAGTCACAGTTTGCATCAGGGAATATAATATGCAGGAGCCCAATTACAGTTTTAAAAAACACGAAGACCGTAAAAGTTTCTTTATTTATGACTTTTAAAAAACTGGTCGAGTGTTTTCCATTTTTTTTGTAATTTGACCTGTTTCAAAAACCAATTTTTCAACTGCGCCAAAGGTTTTGTAAAGTGAAAAGTTATTTCAAAAAAATTGTAAAAAGGTTAACGATCTAAAAAACACATAAGGTATATGCAAAACGACTAACAATTTTGCTTAAAAAAGAGCAAAACAGTCTTCTAGCCTTCGTATCTTAGGCCATAATCAACATTGGCGAACCCCAGATTTTGGTACAAATCTGTATAGTTTTAGTCGAAAGTAGATTGAAAGGTTATAGAACAAGCTTGTAAACTCTGATATAAACTATAATCACTGTCATACAAAGTCTCCAAAGACAAAATAATAACTTAGTATAATGCCATAGAAAATTTAGACGTTTGATTTTTTTGAACCATCATTAGTAATTGTAGATTTAGCGGATTGCATCTATAGGTCCGTTCTCTATCTTACTTAATGGCACCGCGAAGTGGTCCTTTGGGAACTGAACTCAGTGGGGCGACCGAGGTTTGGTACTATCCACAACTCCGAAACGGCTAAGATGGTGGCAACTAGTCTGTACCGTACAATGGTGCTCGTCCCTTTTTCGCACCGCTCTTGTGGCTGTATCGTCAGCACTCGCCACCGGATGAATTTCCAATGGTAATTAAATTCAAATAAACATGAGTCCAAATACAGTAGACTCTAAGTGGTCAGAATAACACTTAATAAAGCAATCAAAGGGAAAAGGTCCGCGATTTATCAACATAATTGCCTAATCGCAAATCAGTTTCACTTTTATTCAACTAAACGATTCTCCCTCTCTAGAGAACCTTAACTATCCAATTACGCTCAAAAATTCCACGCCACCACTTAGTTTGATCTGCTAAAACCAAAAGTGTCTATGCTGATCACTATTCTTTAAGGGATTTGGACTGATCTTTTTAACTTCAGGAATCAGTGAGGTCTTTTTTTTTCAGATGCAACTATCAAGTTGAAAGCAATTACAAAGCCCAACTATAAATTTTTTAAATCCAATTTTTCTAGCTGTCAGTAGACTAGGGGTCTAACTGAGTTAAAAAGCCATCTCTGGGGCGCTTAATAAGTATCCCGTGCAATCAAAATATTTTTGAGACTTAATTCCAGTACCGCCATCATTTTATTGCCACCACATCGCCACCAATCTTACTACCATTTCCAAAAATTTTGGCTCTTTTTGTTCATTGGGGGCCGAGAAACGACTTCTAAAAGTCTGCATTGAACTTTTTGCTAAGTTCAAAACACCGGAGGTAGGGGTCTAAGGGGTTTGGAGGTTTAAGCTTAAAGTTACCTCCACTAGTTCGATAACATACTATACTTTGGTCCCATTCCAAACTCTACATTCTGAAATCTAGTAGGACTCGTTAAATTTCCGGGAATCTTCAACACATAGATCAAAAGAGTTCGAGGAGTCTGAAATTTTGCATGCCTGCGTCAAACCATATCCAGCATCTTTCCTATGAATTTCAAAAATTTATCATTGTTAATTACCTTTTGTGGTGGTAGACTATATCGCGTGCCCCCTATAAAACTTTTGGAAGAAATGTGGCTGATTCTTTAAAGATTCGACCACTTTCGAGATTAGTCAGTTGTTTGCTTTTGTTCTTATTAGTAATCACCCAGCTACATACTACTTACTAAACTATATGTAATTCCCAGGTAAACTTCCTTATCGAGTTCATAGTTTGGCGAAAAAGTATCAGGATTGTCAATTCTACAAAATTTCCTTGATTGTATACATATTTTACGGCAACCGCTGAACTAGATTACATTTTGTAGACAAAAACAAGCCAATCACTTTAAACAGACAGAAATTATTTGAACAAAATTTTTTGTGCCAAACGTTTTCCAAATGTGTTGTAGAAACGCTATCAAGCAATCAACTTTCAGAATCAGAAGCAAATGAATTCAAAAGATTGAATTTAAAAGTAGTTCAAAAATATGACACGGAATGATTTTAAGAAATTAATTGATTCGTCCCAGTGTAAAGCAAAGAAACCCCATAAAACCCAAAAAAAAATTTTTCAAACATTTCCAAAGCAGTTTTCGCTTGAAAAGTCGATAGAAATTTCCAAAAAAATTACATAAAAAATTGCAAAACTACTTTAAGTTTTTTAAAAAAACCCACACGCTGTGTTAAGCTTGAAGTGATTTAGTTCGCAGTAGCAAAGTATTTAATTTACCAAGTAGCACAGCTCAATTCAATTTGGAACGATTTAGAAGGCGGTTTAAATACTCATTTGCGCATGATTACCGCTCACTATATCGCAACCTAATAACCCCAAATTGGTCATTTTTTGCAATCTTTTATATACCCATAACTTTACAAAACAAGTTACACGTAAAATGCATTTTTAAATTTGATCTCAAGTCAACAACACTTTTCGAATGATTTGAAAAAATACCGTCAGAAATTGCCAGCTAAAAATTCAATTTTTTTAGAGAAAAACACTACCCCGAGCACAAATAGTCCGTCACTTTTTTCGAAATTCGGAAAAAAATAATTGTCATCAATTCCACTTAAATCGCTCCTACAATTTTTACATTTTGAGTTATACACAAAATTTTGATGGTTGTTTGTGAAAATATTTAGTCATAGTGTAAGAGCATGGATAATGAAAAGTATATGCTCTTTTCTCATCTTTCGTAATGTAAAATGCTTTAGGTTGTGATTATAGTTCATAGATTTCAAGTTCAGATTTCCAAAAGCATATTTTTTTTATTTTTCTGGAAAAATTCATCTGGTTTTGCAATTCTAGCGAATGAAATTTACTTTTTTGTCCTTTATGTTTAAATTTCAATCATAAGAATCAATTAGCTTGAGATATTTTGTATGTTGTTTTCACAGAATGCAGACGATAAACCATAATGCAAAACTTCTGAAACGGTTAAAATTTTCTGTTTTTCTCTTTGCTGAATTGTTAAGTAATTGAATGTTATCACTACGTTTACTCCCCAAACGCTATAGGTTGTCTTCGCGTATAAAGCTGGTTTTCTTAGTAAACCGTATCTTCAAAATCTTATTTCAACTAGATTATCTTTAAAGGAGGCCATCTTGCAAGATATTTTAAACAATTGCATCGTATTCAAAAGAGTCTTGCAAGATTACCTCCCATGATGGGCATAGGGATTCAGACTCAAGTATAACCAAACGCGAAAAAGCGAGTTGTCACTCGTACAGGCGGAGGAGACGAGCATTGAGTACGTAGCCCAATACTCGTATCCCCAACATGCAAGAGTGGCAACTCGCAGTTTCAACGGGACGACCAGAAACACCTAGAAAGATTCTGATCGTCAACTTATCATCCAAGTTAGGTGAAACAAATTCACTCTCTTCGACTATTCATCATTGGTAGCAACACCAAAAAATAGCTATAAAAACATTTCAAAACTTCCGTATTGATCGTTATTTTTGAAATATGTACGCTCAAAAGCTAACAAAAGTTTTTTTTTTCAAACCAATAATGATTTTTACATTCATTTCAAATGAATAAATCAAAACGCAAGCAGATAATAGTTTTGATGGTAGAATAATTCTTTTTTTCTCTCGTTGGATGGCGTCTTAAAGCTTTTTTTGTTAGTTTAAACATAACATTAAAAGAATGAACCACTATAATTTTCAAAATGAACAACTTTCAATATTATATTTTGTTTTAGAACAAAACTTAAGCTAAAACGATACGAACGTATCACTGAATCGCTTCAGCTAAACATGTTATTCAACTGTACACATCTAATTTGAGAGGGTTTTCAATGAGGCTAATTATTCATGTGAGTAAAGCTCACTTTTGTGAGGTGGTGAGCTTTTAATGAAAAAAAACTGTTGTTGGCTGTGTCCGTAAGGAAACCTTATCAGCATTTTGCCTCATTTTCAGCTCCCCCGACTGCAATTGAATTTCAAAATTGAATTTACTGGTAAAATGATTTTTAAAGAGCTCAGGTCAACAAAACTTTTCAATTGATATTTTTCAAATTTTCAAAAAGTGTTAGTTAAAAATCAAAGTTTCTTTGGAGAGAAAACCACCCACCCCGAGCACAAATATTTCTGATTGACCAAACAGTTTGCTGCAGTAACTAAATGAAAATTGTCCCCCTTAACTGCATGGTAGCATGACATAGTTGAAATGGTCTACTTGCGAAACAAGCATTTTGAACATGACATTCATCACTATCTTTCTTACAAAAATGCGATGAAAAAAGGCACACTGCACAGAATAACTAAAGTCTCTTTTTTATTTTACCAGGTTTTAAAACGACCTGTGTTAATATCATTTTTGGTGGATTCACTCAAACTGTTTGAGTCTCATTTCACCCGTTTAAAACTCATTTCCCCAATTTAAAATTCATTATAAGGTGCATTCAGTGCTATAAAACGACAAGACTTCTTGTATCAGGGCAAAACCTTGAATGTTCCGACTGCCTCTCTTGCCTATAGGGCAGTCTTTGATT